CAGAGGTAGTTCACTCTGGAATGTGTGATGCTGGGGTTAAGGGTGTGTGGTTACTAAACCACTACATGTGAGTGACTAGTTTGCCACCGCTTTAATCCCAGTGGTCTGGATGGGATAAAAGAGACAGAAAGACTCAGTGAAGGTCTCTTGTTACCTTTCCTACCTTTTGTGTGCCATGTTATTTCTCCTCTGTGGTGCTTGTTTGCCATCCCAGCCTCAGAACCAGCCAATTATGGACCGAAACCTCTATGAACTGTAAGCAAAATGAACCCCTTCCCCTCTAACTTTGAGTGTTGGGTATTTTGTCTCAGCAATGAGGGAAAAGTAAATAACACAGAAATTTGGTACTGAGAGTGGGGTCATTGCTGTGACTTTACCTGGACATGTGGCTCAAAAGCCTTTGGAACTGGTTTATGGGAAGGGGGAGAATTGGGAAAGATTTGGAGATGTTGACTGAAGAAGTAGGGCTAGAATGACTTAGGCTATTTTGTATGATAGATTCTGGTCAGAGCTCAGAAGACCAGAAGGCTGGTAGAGACCATGCTTGGGAAATTTCTGCTGAGAAGAAGGACTACATTGATTGCTGGACTCTAGATGATGTGTGTTTTGGCTTGGCAGAAAGTTTGTCTGCATTTTGCTCATTTCCAGAGACTTTGCCTGAGACTGAGATTAGGGGTGGGGGACTAATTAATCTTGCAGAAGAAATTTCAAGGCAGTCAAATATTGACATTGGCATGGCTTCTGTTGGGAGCTCTTAACCAGATCTATGTTGAGAATCAAGAACACAAAGCCTAGCAGAATGATTCAAAACATTTTGAGTTTGGCTAGAAACGAAGTTACAGTAAAGCTGTAGACTGCAAAAATAGAGCAGAGGAGGTCTTGATTGCTGAGAAGGAACTGGAAAATAGAAAAGTTAACCTGGGAGCATCACAAGAAGCAGCAGGATTCCACTCTTTGCAGTCTCAAAATCACAAAAGTGAAGGATTCTGCTTTGAGAAGAAAGCCCCAGAGCACCATGTTCCAGAATGGTGGAGGCTGCACTGTGTTCCAAAACAATTGCTTAGGGAAGTTGTTCCTTGGGATTGGGTTCAGAATGCTCAGCAATACAGGTATTCTACAGCCAAGAGAGAAGGAAGCCTGGTTACTGCTCCACCTGGCAGCAGACTTTGGCATCATCCATGTGGTGCTGGTTTTAGGTGCATGCAGAATGCAAGAGTTATGGGGTCAAGAAGGCTTCCACCCAGATTTCAGGAAAAAGTCTGGGAGGCCAGGCAGTGTGGCCCAGAGAGGGCAATGTGTAATCTGTGAGTGTGAAGCCAAAGGTGCAGTGGAGACCCCAGAAGTTTGAAAAAGCCAGAGACATGGATCATCTGAGGAAAGCTGTAAGTAGGGAGCAGATCCTGCCCCAGAGAGAAGCTATGGGAACTAAAACCACCGCAAGTGCCATAGGGGAGGAGCCACCGAAGCCCTTTGGAGTTCACAACTTGCCACAGATTGTCTTGGATGCTGGGAGTGAAACTGTGGAAAGTAATATTTGGCCTGCTGGATTTTGGACTTACTTTGGCCCTATTCCTTGTATCTTCCTGTTTGTACCTTTCTGAGTGGTAGTGTCTATCTTGCGCCATTGAATGTTGGAAGTGTTTGACTTTCTTTTCATTTGTACAGGGGCTTGCTGCTAAGACTTTGCCTTAAATCTCAGAGGAGACTTTGGAATTGGACTTTTCAGCAATGCTGAAACTGTTAGGAATTTGGCAACTATTAGAGATGGGCTAAATCCTTTTTTGCATAAAAGGATGTGCATGAGTCTTTGGGGGCCAGGGACAGATGTTGTGGTTTGTGTTTAGATGTCCCCCAAAGCCTCCTGTGGATGAGGTGGGGCTTTCTTTTTCAGAGGTAGTTGACTCTGGAATGTGTGATGCTGGGGTTAAGAGTGTGTGGTTACTAAACCACTACATGTGAGTGACTAATTTGCCACTGCCCTAATCCCAGTGGTCTGGATGGGATAAAAGAGGCAGAAAGACTCAGTGAAGGTCTCTTGTTACCCTTGCTACCTTGTGTGTGCTGTATTGTTTCTCCTTGTGATGCCTGTTTGCCATCTCAGCTGATTATGCAGTGAAACCTCTATGAACTGTAAACAAAATAACCCCCTTTCCCTCTACTTTGAGTGTTGGATATTTTGTCTCAGCAATGAGAGAAAAATAACTAACACTATACCCAATGATTTATCTCGTTTCCACAGGGAAAAAAAATTAATTCAAATAAAGACACTCCTCATTTAATAACTGAGTTCCATTCCAGAGACTGGGTCTTTCAATTAATGGGTGGCTGAATGAGGAACTGTAAATAATATATACATTACAATATTCAGAACAAAGAAATGGGCAAGGGAAACTCCAACTGATGACTTTGCTTTTATATGCATAACTCTTACATGCACTCATGTAATGTACAAAAGAACATAAAGCTATAGTACTGTACAGTAAAATCAGCAAAATTTAGAGTACTATATAAATGCAATGTACTGTGCAAAAGAAGACATTGAGGCTCTATAAACAAGATGTACAGAACGGTACAAAAAAAAAGGCTGGTCCAAAGTGGAAGCAATGGGTTATAAGTCTGAACAGGGTGGCTGGCTTATAAGTCTGAATAATTATTAAACAGGTAGGTCGTTAAACAAGGAATATCTGTTCAAAATGAATGGGTTGTTTATGTAAGATCTCACTGCTGTTCTTTCAATATCTATATAATTAATTTTTTGAAAACAATTATATGCATATTGAGAATCATATCAATATGGGCATTGCAAAGGAATTAAAAGCAAGACTAGAAATGCAGGGCCGGGGATTTAGCTCAGTGGTTCTGCCACCTGCCTCAAAAGCACAAGGTCCAGAGTTCGATTCCAAGTACCCCGAAAAAACCCAAAAAAACAAAAATGGAAAAAATACTAGAAATGTATTGTCAAAAACTACATGTTGTATATAGAACATGTGTATTGAGCCCTTGAGATATTAGGAGTCCAAACAGAATTCATAAGAGTAAGATGAATACTTAATTTCAATGACTCATTACAATATTTAAAAAAAATAAAAACAATAACTATAGATACTTGGGAGACTGAGGCAGGAGGATTGCCAGCTCAGGCCCATCCTAGGCAACATAGTGAGATCCTGTTTCAAAAATGTTTAAAAAGGAAGAATGTTCTGTTCATGTAGTTCAGTGATAGAATGCTTGCCTAGCACAGGTTTAATCCCTAGTACTACACACACACACACACACACACACACACACACACAGACTGAAAATCAGAACATAAAACATGAATGATTTTCATAGTATACGTCGAAATGATAGCATTTTGGGTAAATTGAGTTAAAATATCTTATTAAAATTATTTTCAGTTGTTTCTTTTCATTTTTAAAATGTGGCAACTAGAAAATTTAAAACTATGCACATGACCCTCAGATTTGCATTGTACAGTGCTGCGACAGAGCGTACCACTTGGCTTCACAGCCTAACACCACTACATACAAGCTGTGCACTCTCAGGCAGGTTAACTTTTTCTGTGAAATGGGAATAATAGTTCCAGCTTCTTTGAAGTGGAAGTGAACTTTCCTTGGAATGACGCCTGGCCTTGAGCAAGGCAGCATTCTTCAGCCAAGCCAATTCTCAAAGAGAGACTTAACTGAGCAATGAGCCTTTGGTGCTCCCAGCATATGGTGGAGTGAGTATCTGTGTTGTGCACCAAGCCATTCACAGTAACTGCTGTTTTTTAATAAAAGGAACTTTTAATAGATAATTAAGAGAAGCTGGAGAAATGAAACCTTCAAGTTTAATGCAGACACTTCCAATTTACACAGTTTCAAATATAATCATGGCAAATTTCTTCCACTGCCTTATAATGAAAATAAGTTCCCTCTGTGTACATTATTTGAAAATCTATTGAGGTTCTTCTTAAAAAACAATTAGACAAAAAATAAGGGTAATTAGCTTTGTACTTGATAGAGTGTTCTTGATAGAGTAGATAGGAAATATGCATGTTTCTAATAGCTAGAGATAAACTAGCTGTTAAGACACATGAAATGCAAATAACAATACTAGGCAATACACATTAAATGGCTAATGAATAGTACCAAGAATACTTCAGAATAGTTGGTCCAAATAAACAGAGGGTTCACAAAGTAGGCATTCCAAGCAGCAGAAGCAGAATGAGCAATGATACACAAAAATATGAATCAATATCACATGACTGCACAATGCACACAGCTCAATTTGACTGGAGTGAAGGCTCCTATTGGACAGCAGGAAGTAAAACAATAAGCATAAAAAAGTGTCTAGTTTTACTGCTATGCTACCTGGGATTTAGAGAGGTAAGGTGCAAGTGCACAGACATTATTGGGAGATCAATTTAACAGACTCTGCCAAGACAATGGTCTTTGACTTCTCTGAAAGTCTGTAACTTTTGCAACACAGTGCTGATTTATTTTATCTATATTATCATGTGATAATCTTTCCTGCTTTTTAAATAATTAGACCTGTAATGCAAGAGAAGCTCCCTGAGGCAGGGCTTTGTTTCAGAATATCACACTTCAATAATAATCAGCAAAGAATAATAATTGTTATTTACTACTGAGAGGGACAAGCTACCAAGTCTAATGTAGAAAGACTAATCATATGTGATTAGGTGGTCAATAGATACTTCTGAAGTTCCATCTAAATATCAAAATATAATAAAACATAGTAAGAATCAGTGATTTCAACAAACAGCTAATAATATGGAAACGAAAGAAGACAAAAGATCTACTTTTGGACATTGGTAAGGAAAGTATAACTGAATGAAGTTCTACTACCTTTGTGAATTGCTTAATCTTCTAACTTGAAAGACAGAAAACACAAATTTTAATTATCCAAAAAGATGCTTTGTTTAAGCTACTGCAAATCCACATTCTCTTTATTCTGTAATGAGAGTCTATGTTTTCTGTGTTTGCTGTTGGTTTTCTCAGACTCAGATTAGTCCCAAAGAGGGGTGGCAAGTGTACAGCTCTGCACAGGACCCTGATGGGCGATGCATTTGCACAGTGGTTGCTCCGGAACAAAATCTGTGCTCCAGAGATGCCAAAAGCAGGCAACTTCGCCAACTGCTGGAAAAGGTAGGTGGTCTGGGTCCCTTATGCATATTTTTATTGTGATCTACCATTCTCTGAAATGGAAATATGGTAACGGAGGTAATGGTGAAGAGGATTCTTCTGATTTTGTGCCACCTTTCAAATAATCTTTTTCCTTTTGCTCAGTTGAAGTAGCTCAAGCTTCCTCCTACTTTGTTTTATTTCTACAACTGTTTACTGTTCTCAACTTTATCTTCTTGAGAACGGCTCTCTACTACATTATTCTAATATCCAGTTAGTCTCTCTTTAACAAATATAAAGCAAATAGTCATATTTCTATGCCAAAATTCAGACTCAACTCTCAGGATCACAGTAGGCTCTTTGAGGTAATACATTTGGATCCCATTAACAATCTTTCAAGAAGTTAAAATAATGGCATACAACATGCAAGCTATTGGGACACATCATTCTCTAAGTTATTCTTTTGAACATTAAGTTCCTCAATTTTATTCAATACCATTCTCTCTATAATTTGCTTAAGCCAAATCCATAACAATCAAATGCAGAATGCCCTTGATTTATTCTCTTTTACAGATAAAAATCAGCTTATGCAAGGTTATTTATGTTATGTTTAGTTAGGGGGAAAGCCCGATGAATGGTTCTTTCAATTATCCCCATTCAGATAAGCCAGACTGAGATATGTCCTAAAGAAACAGGATTCACAAAGGGTTGGACTACAAATCAAGACAGCAAAAGATAAAAGAAAATTGATTTGTCTGACAAGAAGAGTGGAAAAACTGGGGCTGGCCAAGGCAGTGGAATTCACTTCCTTTTCTGAATATGACAATTTTGAGTATAAAGAGGCAGAGCTCTTTATAGCTGGCCACTGTACTAACCTTTGTGTCTTTACCTGATGGCAAAACTCTGTCTCTGAAAGGATCATTCATTTGTAATTCACATTATTGCAATGAAAATGACTTTTTACTGATTACATAAATAATGCATAGTCAGTAAAAAAAAAAAAAGAAAAATAAATGAAACAATATGCAAATACATGAAGCAAAGTAAAACTTAAAATTTCACCACCACTTTGGAAGCAATACTTTTATATATTATTATAAAACTTCTTAGTACATGAAGACTTTTATATATTTTATATGCTTAATAAAATATATAATTATGTGGATATGGATATATATAATATGTATCTACATATACCATGAGATCTTTCTCTACAATATTTTGTTTCCTTTCTTCAAAAATTAATATTAATAACCTCATATATAATCTTTTAATACTTCTGTATGTTTCTTCATGATTTTGTTCCTTATACATTCTACTTTTTTCATTTTTATGTGTATATTTGATTTAGAAAAATGGAAAGAATAAAGTTATGTAAAGATTTTTACATTTGCTTTTCTTGTGGATGAACAGTCCTCAAGCTGTAAAAGACCAGGAATCATTTGGAGATCTTGATGAAAATGCAGCATCGGGCCGGGGATTTAGCTCAGTGGTTCTGCTGCCTACCTCGCAAGCACAAGGTCCTGAGTTCGATCCCTGGTACAAAAAAAAAAAAAAAAAAATGCAGCTTCTAATTCAATAGCTGTGGGGTGGGTCTCAAGCTTCTGCATTTCTGACAAGCTCCTAAGTGATGCCAAAGTTGTTCTTCTGAAGATCATAGGATGAGTTCTAAGCATAGATGGATTGTTCTTATTCTTTCTGAAATGGTTTATTCATGTTCTATTCTTCAATTCATATAACACTTCTTCACTATTAGAGGCTTTCCCTTTGCTTTCAAGTTTTTCCTGACCCAAAAATTGGGGCAGCCTTTCTTTCATTTTGGCATGCTTTCTACATCACCTATTTCCCACTTTTAAATAACCCAGGGCCCAGTGAACCCGGGATGGTACCATCTGCCTAACATATGTTTACTGCCTATCTAGCGAGCACTTGCAGTTGCCATTTTCCAGGTCCCTGACACAGCATGCTGTCTAGTTTAGGTGTCCCAGCACTGCTGCCACCTGTACTGATCACTCCTTGGGGTGATTTAGACCCATCATGCAGTACGTTCAGTTGAGTGATTGCACTCTAGATCTGTGGAGACTCCATTACACTTCAACACCGCTAACATCTTTGATCTTTAAGAAGCAGAATTAGTACTTACAGAAACAAGTTCTTGAAACATTTAGTTTAGGAGGCTATAAGTTCACAAAGCCCTGCAAGAAATACTGTATTTTAAAAGTTTTTTTAATGTACTAAATTCTTATTTATAGTCAGTCATCTCTAATGCTAAAATGTCCATTTTTAATCTCCTGCCTAGGTATAATTTCATCTTGCTTAATTAATTGAATGTTTATAAATGGAAAAATGTCCATCTGAAAATGTGACATGGAAATTCAATTATGGGTTCAGCAGTTCTAGCTCGTTATGTTAATGTCATCTTGGGCGGTTGAGGAGTGATTGGATTCACCTGCAAATAGACAATAATATATAACAAAAGTTTTTGTTTAACAGGTTCAGAACATGTCCCAGTCTATTGAAGTCTTAAACTTGAGAACACAGAGAGATTTCCAGTATGTTTTAAAAATGGAAACTCAAATGAAAGGGCTGAAAGCCAAATTTCGGCAGATTGAAGATGATCGGAAAACACTAATGACCAAGCATTTTCAGGTAGGTTTGACTGCGGCAATCTTGCCAATCCAGATGAGACACTGAGTGTGACAGACAGTAGGGCACTCAACTAGAAATAACTGAATCGGCCCATACATGCAAGGTGAAAGACTCTCTGGGGATGTGTGTCAGTCATCTCTCCACTGAAACTGACCGTTAGCGGGTGGGAACACATAAAATACTACTACAAAAAGAGCCTCATCCTCACAGAGCTGGATGAAGTTGCTGGACAGATTTACAGATATTTCAACTTCTAAATCCAGGGGAAATCCCAAGGAAAATTAATAGCAAAGGTTTTCTGAAAATTTTATGCCTTAATAATATGAGGAGAAATGTAGAAGATATAAATTATAAAAAGATATTATTAAGAAGAGCATATTAAAAGAAAATTGTTTGAGAATTTTATGCAAATAAAGTCTTTTTGTTAGATTGTAGTGGTTTATTGGCAATTATGTAGAAATACTGAAAATGGAAAAATTATGTTTTAAGCATGCTATATGGATTTTTATTAACTATGTATGACTAAATCATTAATTTAAAAAATCTGTGTCTGATTATGCCATTTGAACCTCTTTGAAAAATAATCTGCCTTACAAAAGCATAGCACACAGTTTATAAAACAACTTGTAGTTGCTCATATAATAACCCATTTTCCCTGAAAATTAGGGAGTAAAATTCACTAGCAATGTTGGAGGAGTGGACCTAATTTATGCACATGGTCAAGAAAAAAGTACCTTTTGCACATACAAAAGGATGGATGTGAAGCCAGTCAGGGACATGCAACAGGGTCCCTCCATGGCACATTTTTATGTGGTAGAAATTATCATGGTTTCAAATTTCCTTCTGTGGTCTTGGAAACCTGAGTAGAGAAGTGCAGGTGACAAAGTTTTACAACTAACCAGTTCGAAAGTTTTACCAGAAGGTCATAGATGAAGAAAGAGGGGGTAAAAAAAAGTAACAAAAGAAGAGGCTGAAGTGATGAATTGTTAGTTGAAGGAGAAGAAAGTAAGCAAAACCAGCAAGTTAAGAAATGAAGACTGTTTAGAGAAAGACCTAGAAAATGTAATAAATTTACAGATGGTAGGAAATGACAGCATGAACAGGATAGAGAACTTATGAGAAATGGTACATAAAGAAGAATGTGAGGCTGAGGAGCGCAAGAAGTTTATTTTAACTAAAAATTATTGAGCACGTACACCGCTCAAGATGGTGCTGGGAAGTGTTGGACACATAATACATAATCTCTTCTATGAAAGATAACTAACAGCCAAGTGAAACTGATGTTAAACAGAGGCATGACCATTACTTAAGAGCACAAAGGGAAGACTGATTAATTTTGTTTATAGAAGTTCTGAGGAAGATTTGGTAATATTCAAGAAAGCAATTTTAGACACGAGCCATCCATCCTCCCAAAAATACTAAATTACAAAGGTGATCAAGGAAACCAAAAGATATTCAATATTAATTTTCAATTCTTAGACTTAGTGTATACATGGTAGAGCTATGATAGGAACCCAGAGTTGAATTCATCAACAAAGTAGGAAATGGTAAGCTAGCATTTTGGGTACAGGGCAGCATTCTCAAAAAGGAAGAGCTCATGTTGTCTGATACAGATAGACAAAGCAGTGAAAATTCTGTGAAACTAAGAGACGCCTTTGAGGTACCTGGGTTGGCAGGAACCCAGATGCATAGTGAAGCATGCACATTTTTGGAAACTCTTGGGAGAAAATAGGACAGAGAAATAAAAAGAAACAAACCTGAAGTAAATCCAAAGAAAATATCTTCCTAGTGTGTAAGCTACCTAGCCAAAAAAAAAAAAAAAAATTATCAACCATCTCCAGATGACCAAATTATTTGGATTCTGCTACTTCATGTGCTCCAAATATGTGCTGAAGTTATATGTCAAAACTCCAATAATAGTACTGATATAGCAGCAACTATTTTTCTGAACAGTTGTACATATTCAAGGCATAACTCTGAACACATTAAATATATAAATTAATCTGATCACTCACAACAATCCTGCAAGGTAAGCACTATTTTTATCTCCATCAGATAAATAAATTGATGCACAAAGACGCTTAATGTTTTACCAGAGCCATATGTCTAACATGGATCTGAATGAAGATTCAAACCCACAAAGTCCAGCTTGAGATTTATGACTATCCATACTAATAATGCATTACCTCTACAAGTACACATTAGCTTTCTGAATGAAAAAAATCACAATAATAATTAGATATTAAACATATGTTGTTTTATATATTTGTTTACTGAGGCCCCCTATGAGTCAGATTACACTCCAGCTGCTGAAGTGCCATATTTTAGAAGGAGTAATGGAACATCCCAAAGACAAGTTAAACTTTGAAAAGTACTTTTAAGAAATATTCCTCTGATGCACAATTTTTACCTTATATAATACACTAAGTGGATTTTGCCTTCACAGTCTTTTGAATGGAAAACTTAGGCCTGGTCTCATCTTAAGACTATGATTTGTATATGAAAAGACTGTTGTTTAGTGAGGTACTCTAGCTATTACTGTAAGAGCACGAGAGTAGTAGAAAACAAAATTTGAGAAGAGATAGGAAAACAGACATCTGTGGTGTTATAATTTAAATTTTTATATATTTTATGAGTGTTCACTGGACATTCTGCCATATTTGGCATGTTTTTCAGTTTCCAAATTCACGGCAAAATATCTAATCCTGATTTTTTTTTTTTTTTTTGTACCGGGGATCAACCTTGGGACCTTGTGCTTGTGCTTGCGAGGCAGGCACCAGAACCATTGAGCTAAATCCCCAGCCCTAATCCTGAATTTTTGAATGGCTAGAATAATACATATTAGCATTTTAACTCAGGAGGAAAAAAAAATGCTACTAAAATTTTGACATTGAATTCCTCTCTTTTAAATATGCCCATAGAAAAATGCAAAACTTTTCATTGTAATAGTTTTTTATAATAATTCAGCAAATGAGCTAGGTATGGTGGTGGTGCATGCCTGTTATCCCAGTGCTTTGGGAGACTGAGGCAAGAGGATCACAAATTCTAGTTCAGCCTGGAAAACTTAGCAATTTAGTGATTCACCAAGATCCTGCCTCAAAATAAAAAGTAAAAAATGGCTGAACGACTCTCTCAGTGTGAACAACTTGGGTTGAATCCTTCAATCCCCAGTAATATATAGTCATTTTTCTTGATGCAAGACACAATATCTGCAGCTTAATAGAACAGAGGTGGTTTGTTTGTTTGTTTGTTTGTTTGGGGCCACAGTTCAAAAGTTTCAATCCATGCTTTCTTAAACATGGCAATTACCACGCTGGGGATTTAGCTCATTGTTTCTGCCACCTGCCTCACAAGCACAAGCACAAGGTCCTGAGTTCGATCCCTGGTTCCAAAAACAAAACAAAACAAAAACACAGCAATGACCTGGCAGAAGGGTCTCAGTGAAGGAAAACTGCTCATGTCATGGCAGCCAGGAAGCAGAGAGCAAAGACGGGAGCCAGGAGGGAGCTATGTCCCTCCAGGTCACACCTTCAGTGTGACCTAACACTCAAACCAGGCCCTGCCTCCTAAGAGGAAGTCAGCTACAGAGCCCCCATAATTAAATCACCTTCTAAAAGCCCTGCCTCTGAGCACATGAGGTACTTGAGGGATGGACAGTCTTGATCTAAACCATAATAAACTATAATATATAATATACATACATATGCAATATATGCAGCAAATGATAAAAATAGAATCTTATTAAAATCATAAAGAAACAATTGTATCTCACTTTAGGGAAGTCAAAAGATGCTCAAAATAATAAATTTATTTCAAAAGGAGTCACTAAAATAAGCCATGTTCTAGAATTCTCCCTGTTGTCTGTGATATTTATGAGTGTTTCTCATTACTAAGATTTTGTGTTCTCCCACTCAACATGCATGTGAACATAAACTCAAAGATTTCCAAATTTATAGGGCAGGTAGAAATTTCCCCATAGGAAATACAAGACTATAAATCAAAAATGGGAGATCCTGGTATTTTTGTGCATTCATGGTAATAACATCTTCTAAATGTAACTTAAAAGTGAATTTCACTTCACTAAATTAGTGTACAGAATGGTTTTTGCCAGGACCTATGGATTGTTTTCTTAGGTTCATCAAAAGGGTAGCTCTTTTCACAAATGAAATCATCTGCAGTCAATTCACAACTGAATCAAACTCCATATTTAAATAAAGTTAAATGTAAAGAAATAATGATGACACATCATGAAACTGCTAATGACACTGTAATTGTGGATCAGCCCTGTGATGCTTAGGAGTGACAGATATTGCTTTGGTTACACATACTTCTTATTCTCTTGATAAAAATCAATATTTAAGATTCACACAACTCTGCGCACCTGGCTCTTCTGTTACCTAAACCTGGCACCTTGGTCCTTCAGAGTTAATTCCCTACATGGATAAGCAGTAGTTCCTTACATAATGACCTATAAATTATCCATGTAAAGAAAAATGGACTCAGAGAATAGGTAATAATTCAAAATGGTAAACAGTAACATATATTTCTTTGAGCTTTGCATGCTTTATTATACTTGCTAAACTTACCTTCCTAATGAAGCTGTACTAAGACAGGTATAAAGTGCTAAAATTCACTGACAAAAATGGAAGGACAAATAAATGAATGGCCACAATTAGAGAAAGTCTAAGTGAGATGAAAAAAGCTGATACAGAATTCAAAATTTCCTGTTGGTTCTCCTATAAAATAGATATTCAGTACTTTGATAATTAACAGCCATAGAGTATGCGACCTATATCTACTAAATTTATTCAAAGTTCATGCATAATTAGAAGCTAGACCCTGTTTATATTTCCTAACTAGATGAAGCATTGTTCACTTTATAAGATGCTACCAGAGTATGAGATAATATAAAAATCTATAATTGCCTCCATAGGATCGATTTATTTTATAGAGAAGCCTGTAACCATTTAAAGAGAGGTGGTTGCATAGAAAGGTGAGATGAGTGTATTTATTACTATTGATCCTGTGGCCATTTAGATTTCCACAAAATATCAAAAATCAAGCAAAAATCAGTATGGGATTTTGAATCTGTTTTAATGATCTTTTTTTACCTATCATAATGAAAAGAATGCAACAATTTTAAATGGCTTCCTGAAACAGTGTATTCCTTTCCACAGGAGTTGAAGGAAAAGATGGATGAACTCCTGCCATTGATTCCAGTGCTGGAGCAGTACAAAACAGATGCCAAGCTGATCACCCAGTTCAAGGAGGAGATACGGAACCTGTCTGCTGTCCTCACTGGGATTCAGGAGGAGATTGGTGCCTATGACTACGAGGAGCTGCATCAAAGGGTGCTCAGCCTGGAAACCAGACTCCGGGACTGCATGAAGAAGCTAAGTGAGTTCAACACTTTCATTTGTCTAAGTTGTGTTCTCAAACAGTTTCAAGGAAAACTGCACCCTTATGTCTTGCAAGTAGTCATAAAATACCTAAGTATGCCTGCTTCTGAGTATAAAGTGTCACTTAATGACATTAAGTATGCCCGGGTACTCAGTGGTGCTTGATAGAGTTCCCTGAATTTTAGAGTACTGTGTTGCCATTTGGTGGTTTGCAAATAAGCAGCCTAGCAAATACAGCCAACTCCATTAGCTATACCTGTGGTTATAAGTTTGATCTACTTATTTTTAATGGATGATGTTCAGTTATTCTGTAATGCAGGGCTGGGGATACTTTTGATAGTGGGGAAAGTTTGAGGCTAAGGAAAAGGTGATTTCCCTAGAGCAAATTATGACACTGCAATCATTTAAAGAAATAGCTAAGTAATTCTTCCACTGTGCAAAATTCCCACACTGTTTATATTTACTCAAAAAAGAAAGGAGAATCCTCTAGTTAAATAGTCACCACTCTACAAGTGTCAAGCATGGGACATGGGGTATGGACTGTAGCTCTTTCTCCTAAAATGTGCTGTTCACTCTTGTCAAGTTGGGCAACCATGAGCTAATTATTAAACTGAAGCCATTATGGGATGAAGCCATTATGCAACTTGAATGAAAAATTAACAAATAGCCATGAATTGAACAAGAACAGGTTGAAAGTCCATTTAAGGAACAGTGTTTTAGTTGTTGATTGTGTGACATGGCAGGGAGGGAAACCTGATAATTAGTGTTCCTTTAAGGTAAAGAAAAACTTTGCTACAACAGAAAAGGAGTACAGCACTTGAAAAGGTTAATTTCTGGCATAGAAGACTTGTAACTTGACTTGAACTGTTTAAAATAAAGTTTTTATGGTTTAAAAGAACATTTTAAAGATGATTTTAGAATGTAATGTGCATGATGTAAAAAGAGCCAAAATACAAAATTTTGCACACAGTTATCACTGGCTCAAAAAATGTGGGGAATCACCATATCAGAGGTCTCACTATAATCATGACAAGATTTGCAAAAGAATCCAACAATACCAATGAAAGGGAAATAACTCCAAAGGCTAAATGCATGCACAGGAATCTTCAGCTCTTAATTCCTCTCTAAGTCACTGTCCATACTTTTTCTTGTATAACTGGTCAATGATCAGTTATGTAGATGTCATGATTCTAGTTTTTGCTCTTATCCAACTCGTTGTTCACATTTCTGCCAAAAAGATTTTCTGAGATAAAAATCCGAAATAACTTTTGCCTGCTAAAAATCTCCTGTAGATTCTTGTGTCCTAGTGGATAGTCTACAGCTTATGAGCCCATGCCTTCCTTCTCTTTTCTCTTTTCTTTTTGCTTCTTCTTCTCTTGTATATGGGGTCTTAATCACTGTGCCTTCTGCTGTCTTACATGGGCCTGTTAGGAGACACTGTTTTTCTGCTCCTGAAACACTTTCCTGTATGGAACATAACACATTTTTGCCTGGCACATGCGACAAACTACTGTTCATTCATCTAAATATTCTGTCCTTGCAGAATCCTTCATTTTTCCCATTAGGCATTTCCAAACACGGATAATTCAGTAAAGATTGGATTCAGTATCACTGAATATATAATTTAATATATTCGCTAGACTTTTGTTCCATGAGAAGAACAAAGTTTATCATATTCACTCAACATGCTGTGTCACCCAATGCCTGGCAAAAGCAAGCAAACAAACAAAAACTTAGAAAATATTTACTGAACGAATTAATTTTGTAAGAAGTCCTAGTAATAGTCAACCAAATATTAGTTATTTCAATTGATGAATTATTCAATTTACTTGCTTTTTTTAAAAGCTTCTTTCTAGCCATATAGTAATTCTAAATGGCATAGGGTGATTACAATAGAAAAGTTATCTATTGATGGACACTTACACATCTCTTTTATATGTTTCTAGTGTTCTAATTCAAATTGTGAAGTTCACAATTAATATGCAATAGAAAAACATTACTGACATAAATAAAGTCCACTGTTGTGTTGTAATTTTTTTTAATCAAGAAATATCTTTAGTGTAATATCCACAGTAGTTAACTAGCATCCCATATGGGGTCTCCAAAATATAAAATAAAAAATTTTCATGTCAAGAATTAGCATCACTATCAAATTACGTTGGAGATTACAAAGAAATATCCAAATACACATTTTATTTATAAATATTTTTCTTTGTACATGCTTGTAGTACATATACTTCTTGTGGGGACTCGGTGCATATACGTACACATCTTTTCATTTTTCAGCCCCCCCCCCACCTCTCCCCTTATGTCGCTCTATCCCTTCCCATTTGGGAAAGCTCTGCCTCTCTACTTCCTACTATCTTTGTACTTTGAGCTTCTCATATAACAGAAACCATGAAATATTTAAGCTTGTGTGTCCGATTTATTTCACTTAGTTAATATACTATGTTGTTTAGGTAATAATGACAAGAAAAATACACAGTATATATTTAGTACAAATACAATTTTTTCAAATATTTTTGATGAATGGTTGCTTGAATCTGAGAATGTGGAACCTGTGGATATAAGAAAACGACTGTAGCTCTCACAGTTCTCACACTTTCTGGTTATCAGCAGCCCTCAGCTTCCTATTCCCATAGAAGAGAAGTCAGTGCCACAAGTAATGAATCTAATTCTTTTAGGTTGTTTGTCTCAAGAATTAAGCAGTGCCGTCCATTTCATCATGTTTATGTCAATTAGCCACTTGCAGAGCATCCCTGAGCAAAGAGGATAATTTATCAACTGGAACACAATCCTTAATTAGGACATAGAAAACATTTCTGGAGCTACTTGCTCCCTGAAAAAATAAATATATGAATCTTTATATTTTTCATTTAAAAAAGAATCACTCCAATGAAAAAAGATGTCTGATTATACATACATACACATAAACACATACATACACATATATACGTGTCACATATATATCTGACACGTATATATGTGTCAGTATCTATCTCTCTCTACATATATATGTATATATATACAGAGAGAGAAATAGAGAGAATTGGAAGAAAAAACAATTGTGATATGCCACTAGGTTATAGTTTAATTAAAACTTCACTTAATATTTACATTTCCTGAGAATTGGTGGAGCTGAATCAATAAATCACTGAGAATCCTTTTAAGTCCATACCCATCTTTATCTTGGAAGTGCCCAAATGTCAAATATCCCACCATAGGGAACTGGGAGAGAAAACATGTTAATCAATATCAGGCCCATTAGCAGAAAGGGTAAGAAAAAGACTATTAAGGGTTCAAAGTTCTAAATGTTGTCAAATTCAGAGGCTATGCTGCTCAGTTCTAGAGTGAGACACTGAATAATTATAGTATTGCCAGTCGAGTATCAAGAGCAGGTAGGCTCATTCATCAGTGGCATCTTCACTCTTTCCAGCAGCCTCTCAATACACACAGCCGATTAGCAAAGGGCAGACATGGACTGGAAAGAGAATAAAATTGCAGCAATGATGAATGCATTTTTCCTCACTTTTTCAGTGGATTTGCTTTTAAGTAAAATGTCACAAGATGCATCACATGAATTTTAAGACTCTAAAAAAACAAGCTACCTTCATTCCCTTCAAGGTCTAAGTTACTCCTAAATACGGCCCTAAGGCAATCACAAGTCATTGAGAACACTATGGCACCATTTAGTTTATTTCTACCAGAGAATTAAAGTTTTGGAGAAAGTAGAAACTATAAAAAGGCTTCAACAGCAATGCACCCTAGTGTCCTGACTGAGGTAGAGTGCTCTTTCCTAAATGCTTATTTTTTTCCTGTGAGAGACTGAATAGAATAAAGTCCCCTGTGCTTAATTAAATATATCACATTCTTAGAGTTCAAGAATATAATTATATGCATGCGAGAATTTGACTGAAAAAGCATGGTTAAATCTCTTGCCTACCTCCCAAGATCATCAACAGACATTTCATGTAGATTATAATCAGGCTTTCTAGTTTTCCAGTCCTCTACCCCCTACTCCCTCTGGTTAGTCGTTTTAGGGCAATGATTTGGTGCCATCTAGTGAAGCAATGGATTCATCATTCTATTAACCCTATCATTTAAGACTTCATATCTAACAGAAGTATCTGTAGCATTAGAAACAAGGTCACAGTGATGAGATTTTGATTACTCTCTTTACTATGCTTATGTCTGAGTGGTTCTTTTGTAAAGGAAAATAAACTTTCACTACAAGTTTAGTCTTTGTACATTTAATATCTTTGAATCCCTAATGTGTGTTAGCATTTTTCTAGGTATGTGTAGATGAATGGTGAAAAGTAGAGGACCTCCCACTACTGTGGAGAAGCTTATATTGTAGCAGGAATAGAAAGCACATAACCACAACACTGAGTGCTACTGCTTGACAGACACTGTGACAAAACATTTTATATATATTTATTCTAAGTTGTGCAGGAACTGCAGGAACTCTGGGTTAGGCATTTATATTGGCAACGTAAGGAAAAGAGATGTGCAGAAAACTTAACTTCCAAAAATACAGATTGGAGAAATAACATAAAACCCAAGTTCTTCTGAATTCAAAGACAAATTCTTCCTCCATAAGATGTCATGTATGAGATACATACAGTAACAATTCCTTAGATACTTCTAAAACTTTCATTTAGTGAATAGAACCACCATACATGCAATTCAAAAAGAAGCCAGAGAGTCATTCTTGATTCTCCCCTGAATGCCACTCACCCTGTGCAATCCCCATATCTTTTTGCCCCCTCTCCTCAGTGTCTCATAATTACTTTCTCCTCTTTTCCACTACCCTAATGCAGAGCAGCATTCATCGTATTTCGTTGGATTACTCCAATAGCAGTCTTCTCTCAAGTTCTCAGTATGCATTCATCCTGTCCTTTCGCCATTGATGCCTTCCAGTTCTTCAGTCCTTCATGTTTTTTATCTTCCTAGACATTTAACATTCCTTCCTTTTTCGTGGAACACTTTTCTTCCCCA